AGGCAGGGCTTAAAAGCCTGAATTTTGCCTGAAACTCTCAGACTGAAGAAGTCTCTTGGAGGAGAGAAGAAATGTTTCATTAGAGAAGAACCCGTCCAGAAGACCTACACAATTTTTTTCTTTTAGATCTACACTATATTGCCAAAAGTATTGGCTCACATTGACTCATATGAATTTAAGGTACATCCCATTCCTAATCTATAGGGTTCAATATGTCGTTGGTCCACTCTCTGCAGATCCAACAGCTTCAACTCTTCTGAAGGCGGTCCACAAGGTTTAGGAGTGTTTATGGGGATTTTTGACCATTCTTCCAGAAGCACATTATTGAGGTCACATACTGATGTTGGACAGAAGGCCTGGCTCTCAGTCTCAGGTGTTCGATCAGGTTGAGGTCAGGACTCTGTGCAGTTCATCCACACCAGACTCTGACATCCATGTCTTTATGGACATTGCTTTGTGCTCTGGAGCACAGTCATTTGGATGGGTGAGCAAAGACTTTTGGCAACATAGTGTAGCTGCATGCATTATTTAGTTCTCAGCCTCATGTCATCCCCTTATGACACAGGCAAAACGTTTTGCTCCCTCTTGGCATAGAAAAGTGCACCATATTGCCAAAAGTGAGGCAATACTTTTGGCACTAGCATATATTATATTACTAAACCAAGCAGTGACAATCATCTCATGTTTTCATTATTTTATATTCAAATTTATCCTTTGAGTACGTAAAAACCAGGTTACTTTGATGAAGTTTTTCATGCATCTGTGATCATTGTTGCACATAAACGCACAGCGATCTGCACAACCCGTTTTCACCAGTTCACCCCCATGATGCCACCAAACTGGACCAAGATGCTTTGCGCTATAGGCAAAGGTGGTGGTGTCCGCAAAATAGTACTTTTGTTGTTGTATTTATTTTTATCAGTGGCGGTTGGTCAATAGGGGGCGATACGTACGCAAAAAAAATAAAAAAATTAAAATAACAACATAAAATGTTATAAATGTTTCGAAAAAATATGGTATGTATTTTTTCTAAGTAAAATAAATAATTTAGAGATATTGATGTGTAAACTTCCATTTTACTCATGAGCTTTTTCGTGTTGAGTCACTTCCGGGTCACGAGCAGTTCGGCGCCCCAGATTTCCATTCACATCCCTAACTTTAACCAGAGTTATGAAGAAATTTGCTTCTCAGTTACAGAAGAGAAAAAATTATGTACAAAAAAACAAAAACTAACATGACTGTTTTATTATTTTCATTTGTTTAATAAATACACTGGCGTGATACAACTT